AATATTTTTGTCCTCCTCGTTTCCATGTTCTAGGGATGGGAAAGATACAAATGCAAATCCATAGCCTCTAAATTTACCATCTTCCTCTGACTTCTTTGACAAAGGTGATGTGATGGTAAAACCAGAAGAAGAAGAAAATGGACATTGATTTGAATTTATTGGGGAAAGGTGGGAGGCATAAATATAATAACAGATAAGAATTAAAAATGTAGTTTTCATGTTTAGATTTAGGACAATGGTGGCGAACCTATGGCACGAGTGCCAGAGGCAGCACTCGGAGCCCTCTTTGTGGGCACACGTGCCGTTGCCCCAGCCTTGCCTCCCCCTATGACCCCCTCCTCTCCAGCATCCCCCCTGAAGAAGACTCGCCCTCGAGCGTGGCCCACACGGAGCAGCGCAGCCAAGGACATGGCAGCCAGGCAGCGTAGACAAGACTCTGCCCTCACACCCCATCATGCAGTTGATGCTACAGGGCGCGGGCAGAGGGTGTAGCCGCCATAGCGCTGCTGGGCTGCCTGGGCGATCTGCGGCGGGCTCTGGAGGGTGTGAGTGGTCCTGTGGGCAGGCGGGGTGGGGGATGGGGGGGCAGAGCGGGGGCAGCAGGGGGTGGAGCAGAGGCAGGGCCAGTTTTTGGGCACTCGGTCTCTAAAAGGTTCACCATCACTGATTTAAGATATTTGTAGCTCAGGGTTGAACTGTGGGGTACTTGGTTCCTCTGAGCTTGGTTGTTTTCTGGCAGACACTTCATTACCAAATTAAGTAGCATCATCAATGATTTAGGTACGGCTATTAGGAGTAAAAAATGTTAGAATTAAAAATCTTTAAATTTGTCCACTGCTGTTCCATTTGATAAGTTGGCAATATAATTTCAGAAGGTTTCTTTAGCCCTGAAGGCTTCTGTTTGAAATATTCCACTTTCTCCTACTGCAAAGATTTTGAATCAATCCAAAGGTGCTTTTTTCAAAAGGCAAAAACTCCCTTGGTTTTTTTTCCCCTTTGAAAATGTTTCACTGCTCATCCAAGAGGCTTCTTCAGTTCAGTTCAGAAGGAGGACATAGGTAAATATACTTGTAGAAGCTAGCTATAGGTCACATTGATAATAATTGGGATAGCGGCAAAGAAATATTGGAGTAGGATTCATACATCAATGCAGAAAATTCTTAAAGTGAACATAAGGATTAAACCAGAAACTTTCCTTCTGGGTCTAATGGAAAGAGAAGTGGGGTAAAAATTTGGAACTCTGATTTTATATATGGTGACGGCAGCAAGATTGCTCTATGCACAAAAGTGGAAGGATGCCTCGATTCCTACCGTGGACGAATGGTTACAAAAGCTGGTGGAATTAGCAGAGATGGCCAAAGTGACTGTGCTGATAAAAGAACATGAGTACTTTTGTTTCTACTTGGAAGCCGCTTCTGGACTTTGAGCTTGAGGTGGAAAAAAATGATTATCATGATTTTGGGTTTTACTGTTTAGACTGATTTGCCGATACAGAAATGGCTAGTGCATACTACTATAGAAATGTAAAAAGTTGAGATTTGATTTTAATGTCTGATTTTACTGCAACAGAGAGAGTCAGAAGTCAATGCCTTTTTGTTTCTTCCCCTGCCTTTCTTCACACCTTTTTTGTTTTCCCTTTCTCTACTGTTGTCCCCTACAATTTGCTTTTGTATTTTCACATGTTATGTTATAAATGAATAAAACTAATAAACAAAAATAATTGGGATAGGGAACTCTATTGCTAAGCAATGAGATTGTAAGGTGTAATGTCATGGGGCCACACAATCTTATGAAGGCAGTTATGGCACTAGTCATGCTCACGTGATCTGCTGGCCTTCCCATGGATTTTACATGTTGGAAGCAGGCGGTGAAGGTTGCAAATAGCAGTTCTTGGGGAACCTTATTTGAGAGGTAGGTGCTATGACACAGGGGTAGGCAACCTTGGCTCTTTTATGACTCATGGACTTCAACTCCCAGAATTCCTGAGCCAGCATGGCTCAGCTTGGAAACCTCTCCCTTTCCCCTCAGCATGGCTGGCTCAGGAATTCTGGGAGTTGAAGTCCACGAGTCATAAAAGAGCCAAGGTTGCCTACCCCTGCTATGACAGATAAGGAGCCTTTCCAGATTCCATACAGATGGCAATCTTTAAATTTGGAGCATACCAGTCCTGTTGGATTGAAGTGGCCAGGGAGATATTATGGGAGACAGAACCCTAACCTTCACATAACTGGGCCCTGTGCTATTTAGGGCTTTGTAGGTAATGACTAGTACCCTGAATCACACCTGGAAGCAAGCTCACCACCGGTGCATCTTGTGAAGCAAAGGCACACCAAGGCGTGCCCATTACTGTCCATGCTGCCACATTCTGGACTAGTTGAAGCTTCTGGTGGTCTTCAGTATTAATGATCTGGAATATTTCAATAAAGAGAAGCTGACTGATCAGGCCATTACATGAGGATTAAGAGGAAAGCAGTGTCTTTTCTTCTGATTTATATCTCAGGAAGTAGTAACTTCTTTTCAAACTGCAGAAACCTAACTGCGTGTCTCAATTTGGTAGCAAAGAATGTAGCAAATTAAATCTTTACCTTACATCAGGGGTGTCAAACTGGCGGCCTGGATGCGTCACGACGAAACCATGCCCACCCCATTGCCGGCAATGGGAAAAAAGTTCTGATACGTCGTGCAACATCGTGAGTTTGACACGTCTGCCTTACATCCTACAGATGTATAGAACTATCTTTCTTGTAGCTATGGTTGGCATATAGCCAATAGCCAGCCAGTAGTAGTTGTTATAACAACTTTACCATGGATTTATTATTAAGCAGAGTATAGATAAATCAACAGTACTACAACATGCTATCTAATCTAATACATCAAAATATAAAATAAATAGTCTTTAAACTAAAAGGCTGATGAACATAAAATATCAAGTTTATATATTCAAATGCATATGTAAGAGTTGTTTTGAAAATGGTTTTGTAGAGGCCCTGATCTGTTTCTGCCCATCTGTCTCTGCCATAATCTGTCATGAATTTTAGTGGAAAAGGGAATAAAAATAGGTCTTCTTACTACAGAAATCTATTTACTTGTAGGGAACATTTTTGCACATTGGTCATCCTTCACCTCCTTACCTGTCTGTCATAACATTTAAACTCCATCCTTAAGCATCTCATCTTTTTCTTTAAATCACCTGTGGCTTCTGCAGTATTTCAAAGGAGCAAATATATTATGGAACACAGCTGTTTCAACTCCAGCAGCATCTGGAGCAGGTGGGACTGAAAGTTATGCCTGGGGTTCAGCTTTAAGTTACTTCCAGTTTGAGGTGAGTACGTATTCTTCATTACTGCTAAACCTTTATACCCAGGATCTCTCTCTTCTTCCATAAAAGGATGTCTTTCTTCCTCTCAGTAGGTGGTCACAATTTCATATTAGGAACACCACAAGATACACAGGATATATCAAAAACAGCCAACATGAAGATTTATCCAGAGAAGTCTTGGATTTACAAATAGACAAAATAATGTACAAAAAGAAGACCCATACAAAAGGAATAGAAATACTCATATTACTGCTGTACAAGAATGCCCTAATAAATACAAATGAAGACAAAGCAGGCACATATTAGGTTTCAGTATGAAGTCAACAAGATTATTAGTTCAGTGTGCTAATCCTCCATTGTCTAATGCTACTGGGTGGAAAGTTACCATCATATACAAAAGGGAGGCAGGGGAGGTAATGGGTTGGATTTAATTTCCAGTGTCCAAACAACTTGTTTAGATCTTGTCAATTAGAGTTAATTGTCTAGCATTCATGACGAATAAACTTGCCCTCACTTGATATATTCCAGAAAGCAGACATCCTGCAGATAACTCTCAGTTAAATGGAACTTGTCACTGTCGCCTTCCTCTTTAAACCGATTTCCCACTAAAAACCAACAAAGTTTGGGTGGCCTTGATGGCTAACAAAAAATTGAAGTCGCTTACACATGTCCCAACCTCTGAAAGACAAATAGAAATGCTCCATAGCATCCCTCCAGCTAAGGAACAGGAAGAAACTGAGAACGCTGAGTGATTCCCTATGCAACAAGCAGAGAGGTAAACTTTTATTTCCCCGTTCTCTTCTTCCGGTTCAAAATGAGTGAGGTACAGTAGATACAGTTGGGTTATCTTTAAAAAGCTATGTGGCAGATTAGAGGTGGGAAAGAAGGAGAACGCTGCCATGCATTTTTCACAAGCTTGCCTTTTCAATGCAGCTGTCCTGCATAATCTTCCTCCAACTCAATTATTTTAAAAATGTATAATTAAACCTTACTCACAGATGATGCTTCATTTGTATGTTCTGCAGCATAAATGAATGGTAGCAATAATTTTAATTTTCTCAGGCAGCCTGCTCATTGTTCATCTCATTTCAGAAAGGCAGTGGAGTGGGCACTGGAAAAACTTAGCCATTGTTTTTAAAGGGAATGCCGAGTCTGAAAACAGGATTGGAATAGCTTATATCAGACATGTCAAACTCGCGACGTCACATGACGTCGCGCAACGCATCGGAGCTTTTTTGCCATTGCCAGCAATGGGGTGGGCGCGGCTCCGGTATGATGAAACCGGCCTGCGGGCCAGCAGTTTGACACCCCTGGCTTATATGAATGTATTCAAAACTGAAACATGGTACCTAAGCGGAGGTAGGAAGATGAAGGGATCCTCTCAGTATTTTCTGCTTCTCTTTCACTTCTTTTATACTAGTGAGAGCCTATAAGCAGAATATGAGGTAGAACGACTGCAATGCACTGTACCTCATTAAAATGCACATGGGACATGTCCCTCATGGGACATCAAGGAATTGTGTCCATGTGATCACAAATTGAAGAGGGTGTTCTTATATTTAAAGCAAGAAAAACACTAGTTGTATATTGCAATCCTGTATATTAACAAGGCCAAGGATGTTTCCAGTGAGACATGCAAACATTTTTGAAGTGCGTTTGGGTTCTAGAACCTTTTTCTTACCTGTTCTCCACAAGGAAGTCTATGACACATTTCTTCAAACAGTACAGATGAGCATCCGTCAAACCTGTCCTAATGTGAATTCGTGAATGCCTGGGGAGGAAATAACAGAGAATGAAGTCACTTAGCTCTGCATTCCACAGTTACTTTTAAGAGCTCCACTTTAAAATTTCTTGATGGTAAAATTTTACAAGGGCCATCTGTGTTCCCAAACCTTTATTTATTTATTTATTTATAATTTAATTTATACCCCGCCCTTCTCCTCATGGGACTCAGGGCGGCTAACAGCCTCATAAAACTACAATACAAATACAATAATTAAAAGCCGAATTAAAAAGAAATATTTAAATAGGCCGATCAATTAAAATTATCCTTAAAAATCCCCTGAAACTTTAAAATCATTAACAATTAT